ACTCATTGTCCTTACTGGACATATTTATTAATTAGTTATTGATTGGAAACATATTTTTGGTTTGTGATTTCAGGCTGCCCAGTGCAGGGAAGCGCTGTGATTGGTTCATGCAGGCATGTTGTCAGGCAACATATCCATTGGCTTTAAAAATAATACAAATTTACTGAAACTGAAATTTTGATCAGCTATTTAAGCACCATACAAATAAAGACGCTTCTGTGTTCGTGATTATGCCTTTTTTTTTCCCCCTACAGTATAATTTTTATTTAACAAACTTGTCATCTAAAACTGGGCAGCAGAATAAGAGTTTTGTCTAAACAAATAGCTCCACAGATGCATTTCATACTTAAGGTTCAGTTTAGGAATTCATTCTCAGAGACTGATCTCTTACAAATGTAACGAAAGACGTGCATGTGTTTTTTGAGTCATTTTGGGTGATCTCTCATCAGGTATGAGATCACGAAGGCTGGGTGAATCAAAACCATTCACACCCTTTACTGTATTATGTAGTATGAGTGCGTTTGTCCTGGTGTTAGCCCCTGCTTTCCAGTGAGAGAAAATCTGAAAACAAATATGTTTGTAGTCTGTATTACGTTTCAGGTAATCTTATTACTCTTTCAGTGTGACACAATGTGACGATTCCCCGATGTACAAAAAGAATTATTAGTAAATATTTTTCCAGTTTGGTAGAAAAGAAAGGGGGGGGAAACAGAGCCCAGCCCCAATCTATCCACTCTGGAAAGAACTACAACACCCACTGTGTGTCAGGCCTCATCACCCAGCGCCAGCATCCGTCCTCATTAATACTGCAGTGGCTGAATGGGAGCGCATACAGCTTCGACATCTGGAGCTAGACGAGTGGGGGAGCGGGTTGATAACATGCAGCGTCTTCTGTCAGGAAGTTTTGATGACTGAGTGCCAGCTCAGGGATAAATGAACACATCAGATAAATTTAGTTAACATTGCTAATTGTGAGATCTGCGCTGGTTTAAATGGGGTTTTCGAATGTTAGTGAAGTGACGGTTACAGTGGCGGTTTTGTTAAGGTTAAGTCGGCTGTGATGGCTAAAAGTTAACTAGGCATAAGTTCGTGTGTAGAAAGATAAAACGTGATGATGCATTCTTTTGTCGATGTGCTCATACATTAAGAACCCAGTTTACCTGTAACTAAGGTGTCCACAGACTTTTGGACACATCGTATCAATATTTAACTGTCAGATATTAAAAAGCAGAATTATAGATGTAGAGAAAGCATCAATCGAACTCTCCCTGCAGACGTGTGTGCTTGTGTGCAGGTGTGCGTACTGTGGTGATTGTGATTCAGTGCTTCTCCACATGTGACTCCCTGATGATGCTTTTGTTTTTGTTGTGTGTTTTTTTTGATGCACTTCCTGCTATGAGCTGCCTCCAGCATTGACCTTTTTTGACCTTTTTGCGTTGATGTTTTGTGGATATTTTCAGCTTTCCAACCGTGTTCTCATTCAGCTGTTCCACTCGTTGTGTTTTGTTTTTTTTCTCATTGCCGTGCCCAGATTCAGACGCACGACCGCCACGTGTCCCATCAGCCCCTGCTGCCAGTTTTGTTTTTGTTTGTGTAGAAATGGCTGCCCACCTACGAGACCTCCTCTGACGTTTGTTTCCTCTCTTTGTTTCAGATTAAGGTGGTGAATGCGTTCCGTAGCTCCCTGTACGCGGGGCTGGAGAGCCCAGAGTCCCGTAGCTCCATCCACAACTTCATGGCCCATCCTGAGTTCGTGCCCTTGTCCGAGGAGGAGGAGGCTCGCATCCCCACCATTAAGGAGACTGGAGACGAAATCGACCCCCTCCCCAGCTCCTCATCATTGATCCGGGGAGGAGAAGACTTGCCCACCACCTTCCCCCTCAACCTCGATTAATCCATCTGAGTTCCTCCTCTCTCCTCTTCATCAGCATCATCTGTCACCCCACCAACCGAACTGCCACACCGAGGAAGGGAGTCATGACTCATTCTGCACACACACATGCTTCACATCGTCTCCACCCCCCCTCAGTCATTCCTGCCACGTTGTGTTTTTCATACTGACTGTGGCGTCGTTCTGCCTGTAAGTCTGATAGAGTCTCCACAGTGGAAGGCCTCTTCTAGTCCATTCATGTTTTGTTTTTTTTTCTTCCTTTTTTTTTTTTTTTAACTTGACATTCTTTTTGAAAAGCTTTTAAACTTTATTGGATTCGATCCTTGCAGGACTCGCAGCAGCAGCATGTTGTGTTCTGTACTCGCTTCATTCCTGCGTTCTCAAACGGCACCGAACTTTTCAAAGAGTGCAGTGAATCAGATGTACATACGCTTCCGCTCTTCTACACAGCTATAAGCCGGGTTTGTTGATCAGAAGATTTTTAGGCAAATGCAAAAATGTAACCTTATTATTATTATTGTTGTTTTTTGTTTTGTTTTGTTGGTTTTTTTAGACCTTGATCTTGATTTCTTTTTGAAACCTTCTAACGAATGTCAATCGATGGTTGATTCAGACTCCTGAGAATGTCTTGTGAGTGTGACACTACAGCTTTCAAGGTTAAAATAATGTTTTTCCCTTTATCGTGTCTGTATGTGTTGCTTTTTTTTTTTTTTAGCTGCTGTGTTGCATGTGGAAGAACAGAATGTTTACTACCCAAAAATACTGAAGACGGCAGCGTCTGGAGGGGGCTCGCTTTCTGCTCAGTGGGGGTTCTGACCTCATCTCATCCAGTCAGGGTTCTGGTTCTCTCTGCCCCTCCCCCAGTTTGTCCCCTGTGAGGATAGGAAACGGGAGTGTGGTTCATGTTTTCCGTCTCTAGTAGGATGCATGTTTTTGTTTAATTCGTGTTGAGTCGCATGATAACGTACAGTAGGAATGAATATTCGGGATTCTGTTTCAACTTTGTGCGTCTGCAGCAGCGTCTGTTCAGAGCTCCATGAGCTTCCTGTCTGTAGGACTGAACCTCCTGTTACCACGGCAGCCTCATCGATATTCTGGCAGAGGAAACCATCAGGGTGTTTAACACAATCGATACCCCGGCGTCCGCGTGTGTTTCAGAGTAGGCGAGTGCAATAAAAGTTTCGGTATCGGGGTAATGCGAAGTCACAAAGCCCTGAAATCCAATGTCTGTCTCGGTGTTGTCACAACACAGGTATCGCTGGTAAGATGAGGTCGCTACACACACGGAAAGCCCCGAGGGCCAACGACAACAAACAAAAGCTGCAGCCTGTTTTTTCCACTGCTCGACCCCCACCGTGTCGCTCGCTCGCCACGTGGCTGCGACCGGCCCACTCCAATCTCATGTCGGCAGCTGTGCACAGAGATGCTTTCAGCTAGGAGAGGTTGAATACAATCAAAATAGTAATACATGGATAGAGACAGACTAAAACACATGCATTCTCATCTCTGGTCTTGTAATACTCGCACCTGGACACCGAGGTTAAGTCGGTGCTCTTCCTCTGAGAGGAATCACGGTTGTCCTCTCGATACACCGGGCACAGGGACGTGACCCTTTGCTGACCAAATTTATGTCACTCCCAAGCAGATGTTTGCATACCGATAGGTGTGAAAACTGTAACTCTCGTTTGTGTCTCCTCACTCTACACTCCGACAGGCTCGTATTAGACAAAACCCGCCCACCATCAGCAAGTTACAATTGATCACAACTAACTTCTTAGGGTATTTGCTTAAAGAGTAAACATTTCCTTCAGAGGATGAAGGAATATTAACCTTTTAGTTTGTTCAAGGAAAAGTTTAGGTAAAGCATTTCAAATCTTATTTAGTCTTCTACCCATTTCTTAAAGATCGTCTCTGTCAGAGGTCAGATTGTACTCGTAGTGCTTCATGTCTGGATCCATGAATGTCAATCAATCAATCAATCAATCAATCAAGGCTTTATTCGCCACGTGCAGGTTGCCCTGCAGTGAAATGGGACCCCCCCCACCCGACCTTACACACACAACACAGACATCACATGGGGATACAGGTCGATACAGAATGTAGGCTTGCCACAAAGTTTAGTTTTGCTATCAGTGAATCTGAAGCATTTTAAGCCTACGGGCAGCTCACATCTGTTGGTGTCACTCACATTTTTGCAGTCTGACTGTGGCGCTGGTAAAAGAAGAGAGTTTAAACGCGTGTTAAACAGAAAACGACTGCACCGCTGACAAGTCTGTTTTTGGGGCAAAGACAGGAAGTAAATGGAGCTTTAAACAGCGTCTGGACCGTCTGCCTGTGTTTAAGACAAAACTTAGCTCCTTTCTCAGACTTTATAACTTTATAACATAAACTTAAATCAGCTGTCAGTGACATCACACAGCCAGGAGCGGAGAAGATGTTTGATCTTCACCATCAACATCATTGCTCTCTTCTCTGCTGTGTCTGATTGGCAGGCATCAGTGTGGCGGCCATGCTGAGGTTTACGGGAGACTGATGATGTCACCAGTCAGCCCATAGATTAAAATCCACTGTGTTCCTGCTGCCGCTTAGTACTTCCTGCTTGTCTGCAGATTACTGTCTTAAAAGAAGAAAGACTCATCCTCCAATCAGAAGCAGCGGTGCGTCTAATCCCCTCTTAGTCTGACTAGCAGCCATCAACCTATCTCTGAACTAGGACACGTTATTGAAGTAATGTGCTACTACTGCCATATTTCCAACTTTTGTCATGACTAGGTTTCCCCACTGATGAGCTTTTTCTATGTAACTCAGAGCCATATTTTATAGGTTGTCTGTATTGATTTTTTTTTTTTTTTTAAATCTCATTGTTATCGAGGTTTGCTTTGGACTTTCTCACCCCTCACCCTTTCTAACCCCGTCCCAGCACACACCCTCTCTCCTCCCCTGGCCCTTTTACTTCAAACACGACCAAAAAAGAAACAAAAGAAGAAAAAAAACAAGGAGAAAAATCTTCAGTCGTCACTGCCGAACCAAGTTAAAAGGACCTCTACAATGTTTACATGAAAAGCGAGTCGGTGGCAGTTCGTCTGCGCTTCTCTCATCCGACCACTTCCCTTTCACTCCCTTGTTTTCCTGAATCTTAGAGTTACTATTTAACTAAATGGGGAATCTTTCTTGCATGGTTTTCATATAAAATTCAATGTTTTGCTCATTTTTTACAATTCTTCTGTATTTTTATATTAAGTACTTTTTAATATTTTGGAGATATATGAATATATATGTATAGGCTGAAGAGTTTGGTGACAGTACCGTACATGAATGAGATGAACCTACCGTGGACTCTGTCTTTTTACAGCTCTCTAAATATTTCTGCCACGTGTGTCGTCTTGGTCACCTGACGTTAGGGCTCAGAAACCTGCAGTGACTTGTTTACTTCCTGTCGCCCAATCAATTGGAATCTGAACAGTCTAGTCCCATCAGCCCCCTTTTACATGAGTATAATCACTTTACCTGAGATGTTGTGACACACTACACGTTAAGTGATTTTTCGCAGTTATCCAACTCCATTAGAGTTCAGAAAATGCATCAGCTAACTGTATCAAACATTAAATGGGAGTGTATAATTATTTATCCAACCTCTGGGTTTGTTTGTTTCTCTGCTTTGAAGCTACAGCGACTGATTTCTTTGAATGAGTGGATTGATGCTGTTTTCCAGCTTGCAGGTGTCGGAGCTGACGACTTTAAAGAGGATCAAAGCTGTGTCCCACGTCATGCTCCGCCTCCGTTTTGAAGGGGCCGTGGTCCGTGAAGGCACGCCCACCTTTGTCCAAATTGACTTCCCAACCCCTCTGCGAGAAAAACCTCCGAAAGTAAGCTCCATGTAGTTGTAGTCAGTACAGAGACAGACCAAATCACAAAGCAAGCTCTGACCTCCCAGACTCAAGGTCAAAGGCTTTAAGCTTAATTTGAAGTTCTGCATTGAATTGCCACAAACCCCAGAGCGGCCATCTTTGCTTTTACTAGCTGAGCTGCTCACGTTGGACTCTGAACAACAGTTACTTTTACTTTAAAGCAGGAAGAAGGGAACTGAGCTGTAAAAATGAGAAAATGCCATGTACACTGGCAGAATACCAGCCATTGCATTAGCATTGTGATCGCACTAGATACAATCACAGCCTATTACATTTGGTTCAACAGAGGCATTAACAGAGTGCTAATCAATGGGTTTTACAGTGTATGCACAGCAAACACAGGCGACAGAGAGAGAAAGAATCGTGGGACAAGTCTAACTTCTTTATTGAAAATCTTATTCTGGGGCAAAGTTGAAAAATGACTTTTTAAGCTGTTTTTTCAAAATAAATGCCCATGTAAAGGCTTGCAGGATAACGAGTTCTGTGAGTTCGTGCACATCAGGATGGAGTGTGGATTCAGTGCTGTACTCTAAGTCAAGCTTTAGGTAATCTTAGTGTTGCTGTAAGTCTTTGAGCCCTCATCCAAAATTGTCACAAGGCGTGGTCTGGTTAGCTCTAAAATTTAGCGCTCTGCCCAAACCAGGTTAGACTGAATGTATTTGAGCCCACAGCGACTTGGCTTTGTGTTCAGGACTCGGTCACTGATTAAACTGATAAAGGTGAGGCTTCACTTTGTAGAGTTAATATTTATTACAACATCCAGGTACAGCAGGAGCTTTATGAATTTACTTGAGGCATTAATGTGCATGGTTACATATTGGGGGTAAAGGGGGACTTGTCTGTAAGAACCCTAAGAAGTTTCAATCCGGCCCTGGACCACAGTTTGTTTGTTTTTGTGGTCATGAAATTCAGATCTTGGAGGAGGCGGAGCCTGTGGAGGGACACAGCTGCAGCTGTGGAGGTCATCACCCTTTTATATGCGACTAACAGCTTTCAGAAACTGTTTCCGGGAAGAGAGAAGGAACTTAAGAGCATTGGTGACATCACTTCCTCTTCCTGACACGTGTTCGTTGGCTGTAAACGAGACACGCCCTCCAAACGATGACGTGTTTCCTCTTTGTTTTGTCTAACTGCTCAACACCTGCACTCCTCCTTAGAGTCAGTACAGTGTAAATATTGTCAAATAAGTGAATGAAGTGTACCTGCTGTCTGTGTCGGTGACAGGAAATGGGAGAGGGGGCAATCAGCTAATCATCACCCAGCAAAGCTTTAAGAATGTTCTGCCAAAGTCGTCTTTTTCTTCTGCACAACTTTGTCACCGCCTCCCCTCGCTTCGCTTCTCCTCCCTCCTGTCTGGATAAGAGTGCCCCCCCACCCCCACCCGTGCTCTCGCCATCACCTCGCTGTGGCCGCGGTGGTCATGTGTTGGACTGCTTGGACTGGTTGCCCCTCACGTCTCATGCCAGCTGCACAAGCAGAGCCATGCAATCAGAGACTCTGCGGCGGCCTGTTTGTGCTACTGGTTTCAGCCACGTCGCAAACAAAAAAACAGTCCGGACGACACTCAGCAGACTGAAAATCCTCACCTGGATTTAGTTTTTCGAAAGTTCATTTCTGGACTAGATAAGATCTCATTTTGCCACAGATCTTCTTTTTTTTTTTCTTCCCTCATTAGGACTTCTGTATGGAGAAGGAACTCGCGTCTTATCCGGTCACTGTTGCATTTTGACTGCGTTGCTTCTTCTTCTTCAGAGCACTGCCTTTTTTCACAACAGGAAATCTTTAAAGAACCTTCACAACCACATCAAACGTTAACAAAGAAAAAAAAGGGGGTTCAGTCGAACTGGAATATCACAGCTGGAAAAGTCATAACCATTTAACATATATATCTATATATTTATATAGTATATCTATGTATTTATGTCTAATATATATTTGTATGTATATTGTATTAGATATAAATACATAGATGTATAAGGTTTCTCAGTTGAACTTCATTGCAAAAAAGACTGAAAGTTTTTTTCTGTAATTACTATGATACACAGTAATAGGCGTTGATGTTATTTTTGTATAAACATAATATCATCTATGTGGCATGCATGACATATATACAAAATTTGGTGGTTTAAAGCAATATGTCCAACCTGGTGCGATTGGTTTCCGTCGTGTTCTGTGTATCCTAAAATCACTCTGTACGGGAAAAAAAGATAAAAAAAAAAAAGATAAAAAAAAACCAAACAGAAAAAAGAGAAACTGCATTTGGATAAAACTAACTGTTCAGTATATGTGTTCAATGTTCTGTGTTCTGCATGTTTTAGTATGGAATGAAACATCCCAAATGTTGACTTGTTTTCCAAATGAATCTCAGTTACGCGCCCCCCAACACATGCAGCATTACACACACACACGGGTATGTGCACTGTGAGGTGAAACACTGAGGAAATTAAAACTGTGCGACTTCTGGTGGATGGATTGATGAAAGATGAAGGTTCTTCTTTTTTTTTCATCATCTCATTTAACACATAAGTCAACTCATCACGTCTCTCCTCTCCTTGTTCTCTTTCATATCACACAAACACTCACTTTTACAGACCCTACTGAACTCATCACCCTCTTGTGTGCAGTAAGAGGAGGAGGAGGGAGGAAGGTGATGGCAATTAAACAGGCCTGAAACATTCAGCATGATGTGGTTCAGGTGGGCGTCCATTCATCCCACCGATCACATTCATCGATCCATTATCCTCCTGAATCTCTCTACAGGCTACGCTGGACAGAAAAAGGAGGATAATGGAGTCATCATGTGATATGATTTAGGGATTTGAACTGTTTTTTTTAGCTGTGAAATGTGGGCTCTGCCTTGTTTCCCCATTTGCATTTACCCTCCATGTAATACAAAGAAAAACAGCCACGTTCCCTATTTTAGTGTTAAAATCTCAAGCGGCACCTAATTGTGTCGAGCAGCGTGCAAAATGCCATAACGTTTCCTGTTTGAAGACACAAAATAAATCCTTTAGTCCTTCAGTTTCCACAAAAGAGAACGTTTTACTTCAAGCCTACATTAATAAACAGCTGCAGCTTAGATACAAACAATTATGGACTCAA